CGTAGCCGAGTGTCAAGCCGCCGCTGTTGATCATCCTCTGCGGGCATTTATCCGGTGTAATGTGACGAAGGGAAGAAGAGCAGACTAATCGACTGTCAAAGTTCCAGCCAAGTGTCCTTGACGTACGAGTGAAACAACACGTGCTGTTGAACAATCTGATGAACAGGATTTAGCAGTGCGATCCGCCACAGCTACGACCTGCAACTATGCATTCCTCGCTCGTGACCAGCAACACAGGCGCGCTGATGCCGTTCCTGGTGGTGTTGCTCGGCCAGGTAGCCACGTCCTTCGTGCTGGAGGGCTCGGCCACCAGTTACGCTCAGTTCAGAAAATGGAACGCCGGTCTGAACGGCACGCTAGAGTTCGAGTTCAAGACCGAGCAAGGCAACGGTCTGTTGCTGTACACCGACGACGGCGGCACTTACGACTTCTTCGAGGTGAAACTTGTGGAGAGCGCGCTCAGGCTGAGATACAATCTCGGGGGCGGTGCACAGATCGTCACCGTCGGCCACGACCTGGGCGACGGTCACTGGCACAAGGTGCAGATCACCAGGTGCAACGAAAACACCACGTTGACCGTGGACGGAGTTAGCGCGGTCTCCACGTCCCGCGGCAAGGAGTTCGAGTTCGGCAAACTGGCTGGCAACTCTGACGTTTACGTGGGCGGCATGCCCAGCTGGTACAACAGCAAACTGACGTTGCTGGCGCTGCCCAGTGTGATTTTCGAGCCGAGGTTCAACGGATTCATCAGGAATCTCGTGTACGCCGACGGGGAGAACATGGTGCCCAGGAGGCAGGAGATGAAGAGCCGGGACGCTAAGGTAAATAAATCTTTCTTCCTCTCAGGTCAGGTAACAATGAACTTGGCGATTGTTCGCGATGAATAGAGCGCGCATCGTGTATTTACTTGTGCGTGGGATATATGAAAGACTCGATAGGGATGAATGAGTTGCGACTCTCGTAGCGTAGAAATAGAACGAGCAGTGAGATTCACAAAGGGTGATCGTTGCACCACGCAGTATCCAACGTTCAACTACCAACGATGTATAAATATTCGTTACGTAACGAGCTAAGGTAACGTGGCGTTATAAAAAATCCACAGTGTTCTTCTATTTTATGCACCATTTTACCTGCTACCCCAGCTCTGTTTATACCGATTCTTGTATAGTTACTTGCGTCGTGTAACATCATCAATATGTAATTGCGGATCTTGTCATTAGGTGACAATGGCAAAATCCGCAATCATTTAGTTGCCGTGGCAAATTTTCACCCTTTGGCAACGATTTTGACGATTTGCGAAATAACTGCTTATTTCCTTATTGTCTAGATCTCTGGTATCGAATCTAAAAGATTGTCGTGCGAAGTAAATATTAATAATCTCGTCAGGTGTGGTGAGATTAAAAAAGTGAAATTTACAATTTTGCCAATGACGCCAGGCGAGTAGCATCTGATTTAAGAAATATCGTGATCGCTAAGAAACAGTTCACGTTTCGATCAGTAAGATCCTGCAGTTTCAACGACAAATTTTATACCACGCGTGTAATAGTGGAAATAGCAGGTCGTGTTTCGCGCGTGTTTGCTTGGCAATGGTTCGACAGACCCATCCCTCAAATATTACGTCAAAAATAGTAGGAAACGGCCGATCAATAGGCAGAGAGGATAAAACGATGCAGGGACTCCTCTAATGGCCAGTTTATTTTTGGACTTCTCCAAGTATTTATGACTCCTATTAGGGAAAAGTTTTCGTTTCGAGGTCCTCGATCCAGAAAAATGTCTTCGGAGTGGATTATCCTGACTTGGCTAAAGCGAAATATTTAGCTTGTGTGAAGAAACAGCTTCTATTTACTGTTACCTGTTACGAGACATCTCGTCCGTAAATTCGGCTAACATTTTTCGCGTATGTACGAATTACCAGTTCGACGAACAAAGTTGTCGAAGCACTTGGCAAAATACTACTACTGTCTTAGAATTTCATCTGGAAACTAATAATTGTTACGTATATTATATGATATTAATCAGATTATCTACAGAGGAGCAATCTTACTCGTTAAATAATAAACTCATTTCACCTTTTTCGCTACTTTGTTCTCGGTTTACTTAAAAACCACACATCAGTTTTTGATTTCTGCTTTCTCGCCAATCTTATTCCACAATATGTAAATTTCAGCTCTATTTACTTGCTTTCGCATTTTCAAAAACTTTCTGCCCAGCAAAAGATTAATACACCGATAAACGAGCAGTGGAAGGAACAAGATGTTCAAAGCTCAATTTACAGATAGCAGCATGCACAAGTTGCACAAGCTGAAATATATTCTTGAGAATATATTTACCTGGCAACTACAAATTTACAATAACTACACGGATAATCTAAGATTCTCACCCTCCTCTCTTTCACACACATACACACACAGTGTTATATTTTGTCATTATAGTACAGCGTATTTTATATTCTACGATTTAAAGTGGGTCTTCTATGGCGTTCTTCTTGGCAATTCGCTTAGTTGTCAACCCATTAGATTTTAGACGAAACCCTTAGAAACGAAACAAAATTTGACGAGTGAAAAATTTCAAAATTGTGCACACGCGTTCCTCCCTTTTCTTGGTATTTTCCGGTAGCTTAACGGTGCGTCGATGTATCGTAGTTTGTAAAATATTTACGTGCGTACATACATAGTTAACACAGTAGCACGTAAATAATTTATAATGCAATTCTATGATTTTCTTAGGGGACAGAAACCAACGATATATTACTGTGATTTTGTGACACGAATGTCTAAGCTGATTTTTCAAACAAGTAACATGTACGCGATATTCGTACAGCGAACATGTTCATGGCATTCAAAATGATTTCCCTTGGGAAGCAGATCAGTAACAAACAAATTTTTATGCTATGTACAGAGCGTTCGGTTATAGACAAAATATGTAAATTACTGGGAAACTATCTACTGTATGAATTAGGGGCTACGCTAATCTGGCGTAATTAGTCTCTTTTTTTGTATGTGGTTAGGTAGACGTCATGTAAAGGTGATACACGGTATGTAGCTTTAAATGCAACGAACGACCCCTGGAAAAAGATATTAAGCTATTTATGTGGAAAATGTATTAGTTGAGCAGATATTACAACTTTGACTGGTCAAATTTGACATATAAGAGACAAAGACCTGCGTCTTTCTGTGTCTCACTGTCGAGAATTGTAAATCTTAATCGCCGAAATAAAAGTTAAGGAACACTAAGGCAACACTTAGGATTCATATTAAAATAGTTTCAGGTTTATTTAATAAACGATTCCCAGGATATTCGTCGATACATTTGCACGCGTCTCAGCGCTCTCTTTGTCTCGCCATCTTCCATATAGCACTGCCAACGGGTCAGTTACATTCGACCGTTTTTCGAGACGCCGCGCACACACGTACTTGCACACAGTCGTATTCACATACGCGTGTCACTACTACGCGGCCAATCTAATCCAGCACACAAAATTATACATATCCCAATACTCACACATCGAATTTGTCAGATTAGAGTTCCAACATCTGCTAAACCAACAGCTTTTTCACACAAACGAAGACTTCTCATAGACAACACTGCAAGGGACCGAGCATCAAGTTCTTTACGAGCGGGAAATAGCTGTTCTCATTTGAAATCATTTTCAGAATTTAATCTGATTATTAGAAGATCTTAAGCGTACGATAGTCCAAATGCATCGCAGACTTTTCCATTTTGCAGCAGCATGGTGGAAATTCATCGGAAAAATGATCGTATTTGTACGTGTCACGTGTCAGTTGTAGAGAAAGCTACTATTCCCAAGATAACTTGTACGAGAAGCAAACAATATATTTGTTCAAGATGTACGTCGACGATGATATATTTGTACAAAGAAACGTATGTCGCCTTGCTATGACCTATACCTGGTGATCTACAAAAAAATTTAAGTAGGTCAGACTATGTCCCCTTTGAAAGCATTCGGTTCTTATGCGAACTGCTTTCTCATACAGTGAATAGCATTTTAGCGAGCAATTTGCGTGTTTTCTTTGTACTTAGACTACTCTGTATATATTTTACCGATTTCTTTTCCATGCAATCATCCGGCAGTCAGTTGTGCCACGATTTACCAACCTCCATACACCAACATTCTCCTTCTCTATGTATCTGTCACTGTGAAACACGTTAACCACATTGCGTCCGGATATAACAGCAGCATTTTACTTTGATATTCGGAATACTCGTGGCATCGCTTAAGCGCTATTTAACATAAGAATCTCCGCGATTTATTCCATCTCTGGCGCTCTATATGGAAGTATTGGGAACTAAGTGATTGCGGGGTTTGTCAATGGGAACTAATGTCAAAATCCGCCAACTTAGTTGCCAACAAAATAGATATTTCCAGTGTAAAATAAAATGTTTTAATTTGAAAAATTCGCGACTTGGGAAACAAGTCTGAAAGGTTGCTTTTTCGCAGCAACCGTTTTCGTGGTTTTCGTATCTAAAATCGGCTGACAACTAAGTAATTACGGGGTTTGTCAATAGAAACTAATGTCAAAATCCGCAACCACTTAGTTGCCAAGCCAATAGATATTTTCAGTGTAAAATAAAATGTTTTAATTTGAAAAATTCACGACTCGGGAAAGAAGTCTGAAAGGACGCTTTCTCGCAGCAACCGTTTTCATGGTTTTCGTGTCTACAATCGACTAAATGCGGCAATACGTACTAAATATAAATCCATCGGTCGCGTGTAATCGCCAGAAACATTTCATAACTTTTATCTCCAAGATATCAAGAATTGGCTACGTCCACGTTAATCTGGGCCAGCCATCGCACAGACGTATTGTTACGCACGCTGCTGACACCGTTTCGGTGCTTCGTGACGCCAGGCTCGTTTAAAAGAAAAAAAAAAAAGAAAAAAAGAAAGGGGGGAAAGAAGAAAAGCAGACGAAAAAATGAAATGGTTTTTTTTCCCTGTTCTTTGCACACAGCTACAGCTGAAAATTCCTTTCCGCCCTTCCTCGTTTTCTGAAATGGACTCTTGTTTAACAACAGAGAGGAGAGCGACGCGGAGAACTACTTGTTAGGCTCTGCGGTTGTTACGTTAATCAAAAAGACGACGCTTATTTTTCTTGCGACTGTTTCGCAGGGAACCGGCCGCGTAAATCAACGATAAACTGCTAAAAGTAATTTAACGTTTAGCTGGATTTTACGGCAGCGCCTGTCTGAAACCGCACATGCTGCAACTACTTAGACGCGTTCGTGAGAGAACGCCGTATATTTCGAAGGATTTATTCGGATTTTAAAACGTTCGGTATTTTAAACGATGGCCAGACTGCTTGAAATTTCTCCGTGAATAATTGCGTTCTGTTCGAAAATTGGATAACAATTAAAGCGAAACCTTCCTGTTTATGGCCGACAAGATGTCAATTACAGAATATCCCGTTGTTGGTTGCGCGGCGGATTAAGCACGCGATGCTGCGAGACTCGTAACATTTTGAGAATCACATCGTTACGCGATGATTCGCGGTGTTTCGAACGAACATACGTTCGCTAACATTTGGCTGGAAATTTACCTGTCCAACATTGACCTCAAGTTTCTATGATAAATCTTTTGCATGCTGCTTTCTTTGTAGAAATATGCTACATAGTCGCAAAAGGGTAGTTTTCGCTCTGAACACGTCTTATTTTATTAACGTAACAGGCGTGCAAAATCATTTTATTAATGTGATTCTTAAAATGTAATACTATTCTTATTTATGGAACCTTTCGAAACGCGAACACAGTATATAAATGTTAGGTTGGCAACGAAGTGATTGCGGATTTTTCCATACCACCT